AAAATCATTAGAATTTTTTATGATATATATTGAATTTAATGGTTGAGAAGTCTGTGTATTTATTCTAGAGAAAATTAACTGATGACCTCAAAAAATACAACTCCTATAAATTATGGATGAGGTTTTTAAATATTTTAAAATATGGCCCATTTGTAAAATCAATTAGATGTGTTTTTTCTTTTTTATCCTCAAAATAAAGTTATTATTAAAACAAAATATATCTGATTTAATTAATCTTTAACTGTTGGATCTTTTATTTTTATTATTAAAAATCATATTGTGCATGCTCCTTCTCTGATTTATCATCTTTGAATATTTTCTTCACTAAATTTTTAATCTGATTTTCATGAATTATCATATTCATCTCTTGTACAGTGCTTCTTTTCATCAAAATTTTTGATTTGATTTTTCTGTATCACCATCTTCATCACAGAGATTTTCCTCTCTCTTCCCCTCTATTTTTCCAAAATATTATGAAGAGGACATTAGATATTGAAAGAAAACTCCATTATTGATTTATGATACCACATCATTGATATATGGCATTATATTAATGATAAATAAATTAGTAAGTTTTCACTGATATGACTTATATATTAGTTATATATAATAGTATATCACTGATATACTATTGTAGATCAACATAACTAAATAATTAGACATAAACTTGTTTATAATTGATATACAATCATATATTAATGATGTAGTATTGCAAATTAGTAATATAAAAAATATATAATCATTTGCTCAAAACAGATCAAACATATTTCATAAAAAATTTGGACTCTTAACTTATCATAGAGAATCCAATACCTAAATTAATAAAATAAAAAATTATGAATCTATAGCTTCGTTTCCTCATTAGTGTGCCCCGTTCCATCGAGTATTGTCAATGTATCTTACCTTACGCTTGTTTCTTGTTGTTGTGATTGTGGCTCACTCATACTACTGTTATCTTGCGTTAGTTTCTCTCGCATTGAGTTTCGTCTTCTCTCTTGCGTTTGTCTCTCTCATTTCATAGATTTCTAGCATTTTGAATCTCATGGTATTTGAAAAAAGCAGATATTGAAAATGGTTGTTTTGTAAATTAATTATAATCTAAATATTAAAAAGGTTATTTTTAAAATTTAAAAAAGGATAGGCTATTTCTTTTACTTAATCATATAATATGGGCTATCTGTGCAAAAGCCCCTTTATTCTATGCTAATAATCAAATTTTTTTGTTGATGTTGCATATGTTATAATTTTGCTAGAAAAAATGAGTGCCTGTAGGTACACAAATGGATCATGAAATAAAGATTTGATGTTATAACTCTATGAAACCATTTGTATAAGGAAAATGGAGAATATATATTAATGACTCAATATATTCAGAAAATATGTTAGAGGAATGTACTTAAAAAATATTATATAATGACGTTGAATCATGAATAGTTCAACTATATTAAATATTTGCTTGAAAAGGCATTCCCAACAATCCATTTAAGAAATTAGTATTCTTTATTGAGATACAATAACAAGAAGTAATGCTATTATCAACGGGAGTTAAATTGATATCCTTATAGGGGAGTAAAGTTCATGCTATATTGTTTTTTCCTTAACTAAGATCTTGTTCCATTAGGTTTTTCTATTAAAGTTTTTAACAAAGCATCTTCAATATGTGTAGTGTACTCTTTTTCTTTCAAAAGGTTTTTGTCCTATTGAATTTTTTTCAGTAAAGTTTTAATAAGGCATAATATTTATTTATGGACATCCATGAGAGAGTGTTATAATATTGTAATATAAATGTGGATATCCATAACATTTAAAGTTGTCCTTTAGCATTCTCTAAATTAAAACTTGATAACCTACCATATGAATGGCCTATTGAGAGTTTTCCATTATTAATACATGTTATGTATTCTATAATTATGTAGATTAATTTTTTGTATGTAACTCATGTTATAGAATTTAAGGACTTGTTAACTATAAATATGAAGAAGCATGAACCAAGTGATTGTAAGCTTTCTGTGAATGAGAATAACTCCTTATTTTCTTCCATAATTCTTTCTTGTCTTGTTCACTTCTCTCATCTCAATCTCTCTGTTTTTTTTTTTTTTTTCCAGAACACTTGTACAGCTTTTCATATTCGCAATTATCATTAAATTCCATGAATAAAACAAGACAAATGTAATTTAAAGTTAATATATACGAGAATTTTTATACTTTCACATAATTGAATTTTGTATGAGCTTTTATATTTAATCAATGTAATTGTTATAATAAATATATTATAAAATATGTGTCTATTGTCTGCGGCCCAAAAAAGTCTATTTTTCAAAATATGTTTTTTTTTTTTCCTTGGTTACGGATCTTTTTTGGCCAGAACTTGGTTACGGATCTAAACCAAGGTACAATGTGGAATATTTATCTCCGTTATGCCTGGCTTAACAGGCTAGGTGGATTCATAATTTTTGGCAGATACTTTCTGAAAAAACACTGACCACACTTTGATGAAAAATTACGTATGGATCTCATATAAAGAACTTATCTACCAGTGAGTCCCATGAATTTGAAAAATACAGTTAAGCCCATTAAAACTTGAATGTAATTGAAATTTTAGGTGAAAATTTTTTTAACCCACTACTTACTAAAAATTTAAAAAACGCCAAATTGAAGTTATATTTACCCTGTACTTACAATCGCAACTTGAATTAACCATTTATAAGTAAACATTTTTAATTCACAAATCATATTTTATGTTTTATAAATAATAAGTTAAAGTTATATTTATCCTTCAATTACAACTATAACTCACTATTTAAATGTTGAAATTCTTAATTAACAAGCCATAGTTCATATTTTATAGATAACAAACTGAAGTTGTCATGTATTTTTATCATTCACTTACAACTGTAATTTTATAATTTCCAATTAAAAATTTTTAATTTACAAGTTATATTTCATATTTTATAAATAATAGGTTGATGAAGTCATATTTATTCTTCACTTACAATAGTAACTTCATAATTTATAAATAAAAATTCTTAATTAATAAGTCAAATTTTGTATTTTATAAATATAAATGCATTCTTTTTTCAGATATAATTTGATATATTTTAACAAAGTGGTATTGTCTTTACATCACAACCAAAAATTATAAGTGTTAAAAATTTGTAGATAAATTTTTTATATAGGATCTCTAAGTAATTTTCCCCACTTTGATTGGATTTTTTTGGAGAGCTGAGACGCTCTATCCAAAATACGCACTCTTGGATTTTTTTTTTTTTTTTTGCAAATGAAAAAGAAAAACACTTTCTCGTTGAGTTTTGACCTTCTAGAGGGGCATGACACATTGGCATTTGGTGGTTGCTGCTGCTTCCCAGCGTTCCATTTCTTCTTGTGTCCTCTTATTTTCTCCCACATTTTGTTCAAGGCTTTAGTTTTGGGATGGGGACGAATAAAAGTACATGTAGTTATCCAATTTCGTACGTGGAAGAGAGCTTGTGATGTAAGGTTGTGCGAAACTCTTTCAATTCAGCCCATCCCAATTTGACTTAAGATCATCATATTCTATTCGATTCATATAAATCTTGATCCTTTAGAATTAAAAAGACTAAAAAAATTAAATTATTTTTTGAAGTTGAATTAAATAGAAAATTGAACATCTGAATCACTTGATCCAGTCTCATTCTATTAATTTATTTAATATAATTATAATTAATTTATTTTTAATAAATGCTTCAAATGCAATTGATGTTAAGAAGATAAGTGCATGAAGCTTTATTAAATTTATTTTTAAATTGTTGTTATAATGTAGTGTTGTATAAGTTTACTTAGTATTGTTTTTGTTAAAATTACAAATTTAAATCATTTGAAATGTGACAGAAATATATTTTTTTCATGTTATTGAAAGTTATTATAAATTTATTATGATTATAGATATTTTTATTATCTTAATTAAGTTTATCAGGTTAAAATGAGTTATTATCTCTTATAGAGGACCAAGTCCAATCCTGTTAATTTTTAGGTTATTACTAGATAAAACTGAACTACAAGATATCTAACCTAATCTTTTTTATAAAAGAGACTAAATTTTAAGTTAGGTCAAATTTTAATACTATTTAGTACTTTGTGTAGGCCTATCATGATGGTTGAAGACTTTTATATGGGAGAATGTCAGAGGGAAATCAAAAGAATTAATTAATTTAAATTAAATTTTAAGTGTCAAATTTAAAAATTTACAACTAAATCTCTTAATTTTACAATTCTATTGTGATAAATTTATAATTTATATTTCAAATGTTAACAGCAAAAATTTTCTTTAACCGTGTTAAAAATAAATTATAAATGTATTACAAGACAATTACAAAATTAAAAAATAAATTTATAAATTTTTAAGATAAACTTATAACTTTTTAAAGTTTAACACTTAAAATTTATTTTAAATTAATTAATTTTTTTTTGAGGTCTCTCTTTTGTGGGTCTCCCCCGTTATATTTATCCCTGCTCTAATTCAGCTTTTTTAGTCTTCAATTTTTTTTTTTTCCCTGCCACTTTGAATTTTAAATTCACCCTTGTTGGAACTTGGAAGTTAGAGCTGGCGATTTTTCGACGTAGGTGAACTGATCTGATATCTCCCTGAAGCTGAAAATTTTTCCAAATCCTTCATTGGATGTCTCACCTCTGATCGAATATGAGAGGCCACTGAACTCCACGCCTTGAAGCACGCAACTAGAAATGGAAGCATCTGAATCAAAGATTCAGTCCACATTCTAAAAATGGCGTGCAACTTTTGTTAACCCATGGTGGGAAATTGCAAAGAACAAAAGTCAAGGATCCAAAAATGAAATACATCTTGAAAACGAGGATGACTTGAAATTCAACGAGCAACCCAAAACTAACCGACCAATTTCTATTCCGCCTCCCCCTTATCTAACCAGTATGATGCTAAATAATTATAAGCAATTTTCATATACAAAGAACTTGAATGAATTGCTTGCGGAAAGAAGTAAAAATAATAAACAACGAAAAACCAACTCAGTTTATTTCAAACAACACAGACCATGAAAATTTACAAACACACATAAGCGTTACAACTTACACAACACGACGCTCTCCCTCACATTGACCAGAAAGCAGAACACCCGATTTTACAAACATAGATAATTGAAGACTCATTCACAAAAACATGTATATTCGTCAATACAAAACCAAGAAATCCAGAATGTCATTCTTAACCAGAAATGTCGATGGCTTTGACATCAGGCTTCTTAACCACTGCCTTAGGAACAGTGACAGTGAGAACTCCATTCTCCATGGAAGCCTTAACCTGATCCATTTTAGCATTCTCCGGCAGTCTGAACCTCCTCATGAATTTTCCGCTGCTTCGCTCAACGCGATGCCACTTATCGTTCTTGTCTTCCTTCTCGACGTTCCTCTCTCCGCTTATCTGAAGCACCCTTTCATCTTCAACCTCGACCTTCACCTCCTCCTTTTTCAACCCAGGAAGATCCGCCTTGAACACATGGGCTTCTGGCGTCTCTTTCCAATCAATTCGAGTGCTCACAAATGCAGAGTTTTCCCGGAAAGAAGTGGAAAGAGCAGAGGGAAAAGGGAAATCCTTGAAGGGATCCCATACGTCGAGCGAGAAAGGATCGAATACGTTGCTCCCTCGCCGACCGAAGAAACTTGGAATCAACGCCATTTTCTAATATTCGAATTTAAATAAGAATAACAAAAGAAAGAGAGAGCGGAAAGTGCTCGGCTGCTTGGGATTGCTGCTTGATCAATGACGGTAGCGATGTTTCTCTGACGTTCACGAAGGCGGATACATCCGGTATTTAAATCAATGGGAGGAGATTTTCCGGAAAGGCCTCAACTTTTCCAGATTTTTCTTTCGCGAGTTAGGACTCGGATTTTGAGATACCTTTCGCGAGTTTCAAGCTTTGGACACCAACGACTGTGGGCCTGTAAGCCCAATTCGTTATATGCGGGTCTTCCTCCGTTTGACCTTTTCGGCACTAATAGTTATCTTCATGTTTCTTACATCACGATTGATTTTTTTTTTTTTAATCACCATAACTTTATTTGGATTTCCCTCAATATATGTATGATATCATTATACATAGATATTGAAAGGGCTATACATGCACTCCCCCCACCCGAAACCTACACACATACACACTTAGGATTTCAAATCAATAAAATTTTCCTTTATTGACACATGTCGCTTTCAATGTTAATCTCAATATAATTTGGCTTGAGGATGGAACAAAATAAATTCCTAATTGCACATTATGAAGCTAATGAAAATATAATCATTTGTGGTGATTTGAATGTATAACTAATGAAAATACAATCATTAGTGTAGAGATTTGTGGTGATGGTCAATCAAAAACAAATAATCGAATTTAATTACACTTTTACATTTGATTGTACATGATGATTATCATGATTATGGATCACATGGGTTAGAATTGATTTAATTTGTAATATTGCATATATTTCTCACAAACCAGTTGCCTAATTTCATTTAATTGATTGGTTGACTATTATTACATTTTTGGCTTTGTCTTCTAACGTGGCCTGAATGTGAAGTTGGTGGTTGTTTGAGCATGTTCAATCTATTCTATATATAAAAACATCCTTTCACCTTATATGAACATTACACAAGCTCCATTCAAGCTTGAATAGTAGACTGTTGATCTTTCGAAAGACATTCATGATTGGTTCTTAAGATGTTCAGTTGCTTTTGGAACTAGAGCAAGGCTACTACTTCCAACCCATCAAGCTGCATGTTGTAAAGATGTATGATGTTTTGTGGAAGGTTCGATCAACAGTGGTAACTGAAAACTTTAACTTCATTACGTGTGATACAAAGGTGTGGTTCTTTTATCTCCAATTCTAATTTCTAATTTATGTCTTGTGTGTTGTTCACTAAATATTTTTCATTTTGGGTTACTCATTATTTATTTAACCCTTTATCACACTTACAAGGACAATATGCTGGAAGCCCAAGTCGAAATTTCGCAGGTTATACCAAAGTTTTCCCACACCTTGCATGAAGAGTTTGCTTATTCTTTTAGAAATCTTCTTGTACGACGTATGCTCAACTCTATTTCAAGTGCAAAGTGCAGAATAGAAAAGGATTAAGTATATTAATTCTTGATACAGGTGGTAAGCCCATGTCACCTTGGATGTAGTAGTCTACAAGGAGGTTTTTAAAAATCTAATTGGTGTATAACAATTATTTATTCATTGATATGTCGTACTTTTTTTTATTTGTTTAATCTTTATTTAGTGCACCGAATGATTGCATTTATTCACAATAGATGTTAACAAATTATCTATCATCAAATAGGCATTTAAAATTTATCTATAACATTGTTACCACAATTTTTTTTCCTCCCATCATCCTTAAATATTATTCATTTTCGTAATAGTTATGTCTTTTTGTTTTAGGCATATAACTACTTCATATGTAAATATTTTCACCATCTAACTATTAAAAAAAGTTTCAAAAATAACATCCCATGCAATGTATAGTATTATAAATAATATTAGAGGTAGTTCATGTTCTAACATATAAGAAAATTTAAAACTTCTAAGGTTTTACTAATAATGTTTTTGACGATTACCCTTTAAATAGAAAGAGAATTAAAATGATTATGAATTTAAAGCTACATTTAATTAATAATATTTTTAAAAATTTATATTTACATTTAAAAAAATAAATATGTAAACTGTAATCATTAAATTTTATTGATATGAGTAATTTTATATCAAGTCAAATTGTTTTGTAATTTATGAGAGGATGGAATTAAATTGTGATTTGATTTCTGTTAAAAACGCGCTCACCATTCTTTATTATTATTAAAAATAAAAACAAGAATTAATTGGGCTTGGAGAGCCCAAGAAACTATATGGATTCTGAACAGTTCCTTCAAGGTCCGTGGGCGGTGGCATTAGAAATCCGCAAACACTCTAGAATTCTCAAAACTTCACTGGAAAGTACTAGATTATCCTCCCATTACTTTACCCGCCAGTTCCCCTCTCCATCTTACGTCGAGGAGAAAGCAAGCAAAAGTTGTATACAAAACGCACTTCATCAGTTCACTTCCGATATCCCCTTTTCGTAGTTTCTGTTGATAAGAGATGTCGTTGATCCCGAGTTTCTTCGGTGGTCGACGGAGCAACATCTTCGATCCCTTCTCTCTCGACGTTTGGGATCCTTTTAAGGATTTTCCTTTCCCTCTACTCTCTCAACTTCGTCTCCCGAAAATTCTGCATTTGTCAGCACTCCGGTGGAATAAGAAGGAGGAGGTGAAGGTCGAGATTGAAGAGGATAGGGTGCTTCAGATAGGTGGAGAGAGGAACGTCGAGAAAGAAGACAAGAACGATAGATGGCATCGCGTTGAGCGCAAAGCGGCAAATTCACGAGGAGATTCAGGCTGCCGTAAAATGCTAAAATGGAGCAGGTGAAGGCTTCAATGGAGAATGGGGTTCTTACTGTCACGGTTCCTAAGGAAAAGGTTAAGAAGCCTGATGTGAAAACCATCCAGATTTCTGGTTAGAAAGTATGAATGCATTGTCGTGTTTTCTAGGTCCGTCTTCGGCAGTGAGATAGTATGTCTACTAAGTATAAATGGGTCAATGTCCGTAAGGTAGGGAATTCTGTGGGATGGATCGAATATGCTGAGATTAGTGTGCCTGCAAATTTACTCTGGTGAATGTGTTCTTGAAGTATAATAAGTTCGTACTACTTTCTTAATTGTTATTTTATTCTTAAATTAGTTCTCTTGCAAAAGTATTTGTTCATTCCCATAACTTTGAATGTGTATATATTTCATTGATGTTTTATTGAAGAAAATCCTGATCTTTATGCTTTATTTAGGGGGGAAACCTAAAAGAATGGTCCCTTCATTTTATAGTATAACAAAATTAAAAATCTGGATTCTGTAAAGTGCTTATGTTATCTAAGTTGTTATAATTTATATATAACAGTTTAAATAATTTTGTTTATTCATTAAATAAAGTGCGAAATTAAAATTATTAATTTAAATTTTAATAATTTAATTGATACGTGCATTTAATGCTTGAGCACCGTTATCAAATTCAACTTCATAAAATTAAGGAGGTTTTAACCCATAATTCTTCGAGTTGAGGTGTGCCGTTATCTTAAAGACTTGGTCAACTGGTCATGGATATAATAAAGAGTTAATTAGGTATGTGTAACGATCACGATGAAGATAAGCGGCGTGGTGATTGCGACGTAAAATCCAACATCAATGCTCAGAATAAAATAAAATTAAAATACTGATTTTTTTTTTTTTGTAGGCCACAAATATGTTAGAGAAATAATATAATGACATGACGTAAGATATTTCGGAGATTTCTAGACTGCAATCCGTCGCCTAATTTTAATAGTCGACGTATCCTGAGTCAAGCAATTCTGAAGCACACGTAATCGGCTGCTCTCATATCTCTCAAATTTGTTTCAGCCCAAGCACCAAAATGTCGTCGTGCGTGACTGCTACAGGTTCGTCAGATTGGACCCAGTGAGGCTTCCATGGAGATAGTGGAGCCTTTACGGGGACGTCACCAGAGGAAGAGATTATTCAAGAAGGTTGAGCTTATATAGCTTATAAGTTCCAAATAATTAAGAAACCTTAAAGTGGTTTCTGGATAAGGTGAATTTCTGGAGATATAGCGAGAACATTGTGTCACGTGCTTTCGTGATTGAAACTACCCAGTGTAGCATATGAATGAGAACCATGTAACTAAAAAATACATGTGAAAAGTGGATATCTGCTTATGTAATTAATTAACTTTCTTCAACCACGTGACTTTCGTCATATTAATTATCATCCCTACATGTTCATGTGAGGCAATACATTTGTTCTTATCTCTCCCACGATTGGCGCAACCATTATCCTGCAGATTCAACATTTTCGTCGTCCTCCAATCATTCTTCGTCACATTCTTGATCTGGAAAATTGTGCCGTAGCAGAAAGATTGTAGCTACGAAATTTAGCAGGGCAGATCATAGAAAGCTTCTAATTACGAAATTTAGCAGAGTAGATCATATCACCTGTATCGTGATCTATGCTTCGTACTTCCTAGAACAGCCAATGCTAAAAGCATCTATGTCTATATCTATATCTATATACATATATTGAAGCTCGCGTGACAATATAACTAAATAAGAAGGAGAAAGCTCTTTCTCAACTTTATTATAAATGCTACGTACAATTAAATCTTAAATCCTTACAAATCATCAGCGGCAGCAACTACAAGCTAGCTGCATCAGAATCTGAGTAATTTAAAGAATCTGGTGAGAACATTCGAGCATGTCTCTGCGAATTATTCATCTTGTCGTCTTCACTTTACCACCCAGCAAATCCTAGGAAACTGTAATGAAACGTAAGAAATAAACGTACAGTCAGAACCCACCGGCACGAAATGGTTGACCTTTTTGTGCATTTGAAAACAAATTTCGGCAGAAGCTGATACATATTTTGCGGAAAAGTAATTAGTGGAAGCGAAAGGGAAGAATTAAAAACAGAGTATGTGAATGAAGTGATGGAGATGGAAGAGGACCTGAGAGAACGAAGGGTGAGGTGTGGGGAGAGAAGGTGGAATAAAAAACTAGCTCCGTGAAGGAGGAGGACAAGCCCAGTACAGCCCAGCAGGATTAACCATATCATCATTCCCTTGTAGTTGAAGAAGAAGCAGATTCAGAAGCAGAAGTGGAACAGAGGAGAGAGAAAATGGGAGGCCAAAAAAGCGATGGAAGAAATAGATTAGAGAAGGGTTGGTATTGGGATAAAGAGGTAATAAAAAACGAGATTAACAAGGGCGGTTAAGGATTATAGAAGAATACGTCGTCGTTTTGAGCTCACCTGCCATTCATAGGTCCTAATTGGTTGATCAGTGAGTGAGGCTGGTCGGTGAGATTGAGTTGACGACCACGTGAATCAATATTCTGTGAAGTATGTCCATTGCGGATCATTTGGTATTGCTAATCACTAATTTTTTTGTTTTGATCAATAGATCATTATGTAATGTGAATAACTTATTGAGAGAGTGTGTCTTTTAAAGTTATAAACTTCATACTATTTGTGGTACTTTTAACGTGGGACCCGTGACACAGTATCATGTAAAATTTAATTTAGATGTTAAGTCATGATTAAACTATATAATAATACGTGATTTAAAATATATAATTGAAATAAGATCGCAGGTTCAATTCATTGTGAATACTGCCCCAAAAATCAAGCCATTATTGTATCTGGTCATGTCAACAACTAACTAACATTCCTTCCGCGTTTGGATCGGGTGCATGTTCATCCAAGCAGCTTCTCAATTTTTTTATTTTTTTACTATACAATTGATGAAATCAATTCCAAGGAACTTAAATATAAGCGTTTTTCTCAATCGAAATTCAAATACTAATTTGTCACGCTATAATGAATCATCTCTCAAACATGCATATAGAAACCCATGTTACTTGCATAATCTGAAAAATAAATTACGTTATTAAGCATTAACTACTTATAAAAAATACTAACTTACTTAAAATATATAAAGCATTTTTTTAAGAGTTGAATGTTAAAAAATATAAAATACTTTTAATTTTTTTAAAGTGTAATCATTTTTTTAAAAGTGTTATATTGAATAAATTATTCTATATTTATTTTAAATTAAATACCTATTAAATAGGGGTAAATATAGAATGATATGATTAATTTGAAAATAAATAACTACTTTATTAAGAGGTAAAATTCAATTAAAAATATTTTATATTTTTTAACAGAAGAAGTATAACTTATTGCAAAAAAAAAAAAAAAAAAAGAAATCTTTCATCATGCAATCAGATATTTTTTTCATTTGGAAAAAAAATTGCTCAAAATTTGGTGAGATTCCTATCGATTTATTTTATTAATTGTAGCATAAATTAAATGACAAATTAAAAAAATTACACATTTCTAAGTTCGATTATAGTAAAAATAGAATTAATCATGAGTTACCCATTGTACATGGCAAGCAGATTCATAGATTACAAGGAGCACCGATTAACAGCTAAAAAACTAGTTTACTTTTTTCTCTCTTCAACAATGAAAGAAATAATACATTGGTGTTTGTCTGTCCAATAAAGGTGTATGTGGACAATTTAATTATAAGGAAGATCTTGAGCCTCAAGTGCAGCGATATGGTTGAACAAGATCCTTCAGAATGATGGGATTCACTTTTCATTTGTGTAGGCAATTTGCAGCTTCCTCATTAGTCGCCCAACAAAGTTGACAGAAACAAATCCTGCACAAACCCAGATCTCCCTGCAGCCTGCCTCATCCTTCTCTCTCTCTCTTCATTACTCAATGAGCCATCAAAGCTGCATCACAGTTACAGAATATGACACAACCAGTGATTAGTCATATTAAGATCTGAAAAACTAAAGAAGAGAAAAGTGAGCTCCAAACGCAGTCACACTCATCGTGCAACTCTTTCTCATTTGAATAAACGATCCTACGCTAGTTAGGTTAATTGCCTGACCTCATACAACATATTCAATTTGGCCTTGAATTCACTATGTTTAGCTAAGCATAACCATGGCTTAACAATAACTATGATTACAAGTTAAAAGTACCTTGATTTCCATATATGTGATGGTGCTGGGTTCTTTGGAGAAGAGTCTTCAGCACCGGTTAACACGGATTTTGAAATATCTTCTGCTTCAGAAGCGGGAACATTAAAAATAAGTGAGGATAGGAATGGATCAGTAGCTGCAGCACTGGATGTATTAACACTGTTTGATCGATATCCTCCACTACTGCCGCCACCGCCGCCACTGCCTAGAAGGACCTGTAAATGAGCTTCACGAAGATCCCGACCCAAAACAGATAATGCCTGGCTGCTTGGAACAGCAACTCTACGTAGCCTGCGTCGTCTCTGTAAGTATTCCTCGGTTAAGGGAAGCAATTAAACTGTTAGATATTATATTAAAACTGTCTATTGGTTGGTTATCAATTAAAAGTTTGAGTTAAACTGTCATTTGACATCATATCAAAGCCTTATGGCCGAGTGGTCTAAAGACAAGAATTTTTGTGCTAAAAGGTACAGTAAAGCCGTTTATAGACCTTTGCCAGAAACTACAGCTTTTGAGTTAATCTAGTGTCCGACAATAACAATCCATGATTTGAAGAAGCTAGCAATTTCAAATATCTCTGTGGCTGGCAATTTCAAATGGAAATTACATATAAAGGATATCTTAAACAAGTGTCCATGCTGCAGTGTTATGTGACTTAACATGTCTCTCGCAACTTTAACTGAGCATATTGGACAAACCTGCATGGGAGAAAATAGAAGGATGAGACCTTATAACTAAAATTAAAGATCAGTTGAATTAGATATAGATATGTGTTACAAGTAGCAACCACAAAGAAGTGAGCGGCTATACATTGATCTTAGATCCTTTGGTTTTCCCTTAGATCATTCAAGCGGAAACATTCTTCAAACCAACCAAAAATGAGAAACTTGTCCATCTCAAAAGCAACCACCACCACCACATTTGCTATAGAAGTTAACAACTAGTCAACTACTAGTAGTTTTAGAAATAAAAGTTCGCAATTTTAAGCATGTCAATCATGAGCCAATATAAATTTGGAGCTTACAACACAAGCCACATCTGAAATTTGTGATAGCTAAAATTCTTTATCCTCAAATTCACATAATTCTCAAGCCTTGTTTTTCTCCTCTAGCTATTGTCACCTATATTTTATAACTGTTGGATTTCTTCATGACATGCTTTTAAGGTTAAAATGACATGTTGCAATTTATGTAGCTGGCCCAACCTAGTGGAATAAGGGTGGTGGTTGTTGTTGTTGTTTTGCTTTTAAGCTTACAAGATATTACCACCACATGAAGTTCCATAAAGAGACAATTTTTTATTTCCAAATTAAAAAAATAGAGGGAGGGAGATTGAAAGAAATTGGCCAAAAATTCTTAGAGCCATACTGATACCTCATTGCCTATGGGACAAAAGCCTACAAATGGATTATATGTACATTAAGATCCCAAATCTCCAAGTAGTCTTCAATTTCAAAGCTTCAAAGGGTTTGACATTGTCCTTTTCCTAAACATTCATTAACTTTTTTAAATGTCGAAATGGTATTAGATATGGCTTTACAGGCTGAAAAAAGACACCATTGCAGAGACTCATATCCAAGTCAACCCTAAGCTATACCATCATGTCTCTTCTTATTAGTCTAGCACCCAAAAACCAACCTCTGCATCACTTTTGTTTGTGCCTTAATCCTTATTCAAGTCTTTTTGAAGTATATGTCTGAATTGAATCTGAGTTACCAAGTCAGCATTTTATTCAACTGAATAAAGTTATCTCTGACGCTGCGTTGAATGCTTCTGTCAATAGATTATGGGCATTGGAGGAGAAAAAACAACAATTAACACTTCTAGAAACTTTGTTACTTTGAGGACTAGATTGAACCAAAACGAGCTCCGAGGATTATAACATAACTTGAGTGAAATTTCAGGGATTAAAAGTGCACGTTTGCCATAACACACACGCACACCCATTCTGGCCATTCATTATTGTAGAGCATCTGCAAAAGACAATAGGAGGAAAAGCAAAAGAGAATGACAATGATTTCAACACACAATACAACGGTCACTTGAGAAGGAAGAGCAGAGCAGAGCATCTCACATATATCTTATGTTCATTGACTTGGGTTTTATCGTTCATGTAACGTGGAAAAGAGTTCTTTGTTTACCCGAAACTGAGTAAGGCAAAAAGGTTTGAATATCCATCAAAATGGTTCAACTCACAGCTTTATTCCCATCCTGAGTTCTCCAAGTTGGGCATCCGACAATGGGAACAAACCATTCTCTATATAGATTTTACAATAATGATGGATTGCATACAACCAATATACCATTCTAGTGAATTCTAAGCAAATAGACATTAGAAAGACGCATAGATCTAGGCTAGCGACCAAGAAAATAATATCGAAACAGGAGGAAAAGTAGCATTGAATCATACCGTGGCTCTAGATTCACACGAGTGCTCGTCTTCGAGATTCGAACACAAGGACGCGATGTCAACGTCTTCATAAGAGCTTGAATAATCAGGCCGAACATCATCTTCCACGACGAAATCATAGATTCCCAACCGATCTGACTCCCCACAAAGTTAAAAGTCAGATTTTTACCATACCCAGAATAGGGAGAAGAAATGAGAAAAAGCTCAAACCGAACCTAATTGGGAACTTTGCTGCTGCTGAAACGCATACTGGCGTTTGGCGGCGGCGAGACGCGAGGTCCAGAAATCAGAATCCATAGAACAAGTGAACGATCAAAAGATCAAGCTTTCTGAAAGATGGGTCTTGATGGAAATCACCTCCTCCCGCAAAATGCTTAGATGAATCAAATCATTCCCATAGCTTTTCACGATGATAAGAGAGCTACAACTCTTACCGCTGTTCTGTTTAATGGTTCCGAATTTCTTTAGAACCTTGACATTTTGGAAAGGAAGAGATTATATGTTCAAAGGGAAGTAACCTTGAGAAATGTGGAATTGAATTGAGAGAGATCGACAGAGACAGGGCTTGTACGTTTTCGTGGCTAGGAGGGGAAGATGTGAGGAAATGTCGGGCTTGTCTTGGGGAAGATACGGTCGGTTTTGAACATGTCCCTGTTTTTCATTCGGTAGTTAGAGAGATTTTGCCGCTTTTGTTTACATTTTTAGTGATTCCGGCTTGTAATGAC